CACATTTCATTACACCAAATACACAAAATAATGTTCTTTTTAGCAGCATCATATGACCCCTTTAAGTAATGGCTGCCAAGCTGTGACTTGACATTTAAAGATACTAAGGGGGAAATGTAAGCTACTCAGTCGCTGGTGCACGGTTTATTCCAAAAGCACCACAGTGCAACTTGGCTCATTCTTTATTGGGCCACTTGTGCCTCAAGTGACAGCTTCCCCTTCTAAAGTGATATGTTTGCACTAATGGCTGACAGTGAGGACTTCACTAAGACAAGATTCTGGAAGGAGATTTACATCTGAGACATCTTAAGCATTTGAGGGGGGGTGCTTGAAGACAGGCCTGTTACTCACCTCTTGCTTTGATTTCGGCATGTCCTAACGAAATACATCCACCCCAGACAAGTAGCATTTTCATTTGTCATACTTCTGTAAACATCAGATCATACGAGTGTGGGTGTCTGTGCCCAGAGGACACTGTTTTTTATTGCCTGAGCTTGTACTGAAATGAATACTGTATATATCCCCCTTATCACCCTCTGTTTCTCTTTTTTTATTCGCCTCATGAAGCCTTGTAAATTTCAGACGCTAGTCTCTAATTGTGCCACAGCTTGAGCAATACAAGGCACTTTTACAAGATATTGGTTTGTTGGCAATCTCACATGTACTGGAGTTTTTATTTTTCCATTCTCTTTATGACCACACATGGCCTCAAGTGGGGAATAATGAAAGTGTAACTGTGTTCTGGTATCAAAATAAGCTGATAAAAGTTATTGAGTGGCTTCTTTATTATTTGGCTGTAGCCTGCATCTTTTCCAAAAGTGTTGTTCTTTAGATGTCAAAAGTGTCTCTTTCCACTATTCTCTCCATCTCTTTAAAGTTTTCTGTTTTTTCCCCCTCTCAGGTTTTCAGCGTTGCATCATGCTGCTCTCACTGGCACTACAGAGTTGCTCTCTCTGCTGTTGGATGCTCAGGCTGTTGTGGACATCAAGGATAGCAATGGTTAGAAGTTAGAACTGCCTCCTCATTACCTACATTGAGTAAAACTATCAACTGGTTGTGATTTACTTGCATATTAATCCAGGACCTCATAACTGCAGCCTGATAGAAGACCTAAGCCTTTTGTTCTGTTGACCTTTACACAGCAGGGCCATTCAGAAATCAATTAAAGGGATAGTTCACCCAAAAATGACAATTCTGTCATCATTTCTTTCTTCTGCTGAACACAAAAGATGATATTTTGAAGAATGTTGGTAACCAAACAGTTGACAGTAGCCACTGGCTGCCATATAATTTTTTCCATACTATAGAAGTCAGTCAGTACGTTTACATGGACAACAATATTCCAATTTTAACACCATTAAGACAATACTCTGATTAAGAATATACCGTGTAAACAGATTTTTGATTACCTTAATCCGGCTAAAGTCATACTCAAAGTAAACACAAATCGAACTAAGACATGTGACTACCGTCGTGTATGACTTTTCGCCGCATTTTGCGACAGGATACACACACGGCAGTGCTCAACCGTTTTGACGGCAAACAAAAGGGCTTCAGCAACGCCGTCGTCTGCTTGCACGTATAGCATGACAAATAATTAACGGCACTTGAAGCTTTCGTAAAATTAAAAATGAAACACCCGATACTGTATATGGCATCATAACAAAGACGAACTATGTTTATACGTGAAATTCTGGAGGGGACGTAATGACGTGTGCCATTAATCTGTCTATGTACTATAGGATATAAAACGGGAACATGAAAAATATTGTAAAAGCAACTCATGTAAACACCTTAATCATAATATTGTCTTATTTAGAATAAAGTAAATAATTAGATTGCTGATGTCCATGTAAACGTAGTAAGTGGCTACTATCAACTGTTTTGTTACGTTCAATTATGTTCAACAGCTGAAAGTAATTCACACAGGTTTTAAGGGTAAGTAAATGATGACAGAATTAAAATTTTTGGATGAACTATCCATTTAAGTGAATTAAATTACTAATCAGTTTCTTAATTTAAATGCATTGGAATTGAGGTTGCAAACAGGACACAGAATAATATAAATTTAAACGTTTTAAAATACCAAACATATCAAGTATTTCTTCAAACATTAGATGACATTAATTTGCATTCTAACTCATGTATTGAAATGGAGCCAATTCTTAAATTTTGGCCAGTCTTGTACAGAGCTTGCATAACTGTGTGTCAGAGATTTAATTCAGTATGATTTGCTCTGCAGGCATGCGGCCGCTGCATTACGCAGCATGGCAGGGTAAAGCTGACTCAGTGCTCATGCTGCTGAGATCAGGGGCCGCCGTTAACAATGCGTCTCATGACGGGCAGATTCCACTGCACCTGGCTGCTCAGTACGGACACTATGAAGTGGTGCGTACCCATTAGACCAATAGTTCCCAAGCATTTTCCCCCCAACACTGCACATTTTGCATGTCTCCTTAAATAAACACACCTAATTCAACTAAGGCCCCGTCCACACGGAGATGCGTTTAGCTGTATACGCTTTAATTTTTTATCGTATAGGCGTTTCGTCCACACGGATCCGGCGTTTTGGGAGAGTGAATCCGACATTTTTTTTGAAACCGGGTCCCAGAGTGGATAAATCTGAAAACGCCGCCCTTGCGTTTTCATGTGTACAGCCAATCCGTATATTTTCTGAAACGATGACGTCATCAGCCCACGTCTCGCCCCTAGTCAGACACCGCTACGTCACGTAACAGCAACAAAAACATGAACAAACACTGAACGATTGTCTTTTTATTAACTAACATTAACACAGATTAATAAATGTATTGTTCCATGTTCGTTTGTATACCGCGCTCAAGGTTTATGCGCATAGTCCAAGTCTTCTTCTCTGTTTTTAGTGTATCTCTGTGGCAGAATTACAGCGCCACATGCTGGTTTGGCATGTATACTACATCGCTTGTGTCGGTTTTGTGATTTCGTGTGGACGCAGATATTTCTTGAGACGAGGGGGAAAAAAAAAGATCGGATAGGGAAAGCTCTGGCTTCGTGTGGACGTAGCCTAAAGCTCATTGTAGAGACTCCAAGAGCTGAAATGGGTGTGTCAGACAAAGGAGACGTGCAAAATATGAACCACTGCATTAGACCACACCCAGATGCTTCAAAACAGACCGCTGTGAACAAACATGTCACACAGAGCAGAGCAGTTTACCACTATGTCTTAAATGGGCTGGCCTGACAATATTTTTCTACTGAAAATTGTTCCATGTTTGCTCTGTTTATAAATTTGGCTCCAAAAGCCCACCGGGAAAACTGGCCAGTCCATCCCTGTTTGAGAAACAGTGTTGTTGGATACAGCACCTGTGAATCAACTGACATCACCTCTCTGAAATGCAAAGAAATATGATATCTGCATTGCAACATCAACAAGTGACCCCAGATGGGTTTTTGTGTGTATTAGTGATGGATCAGAGATAATCTGCCTGATTATATTATTATTTTCTGTCTCATGTCACATGTGAACTAATAAATTGGTACAAAAAAAACATCATTCTTCAATTCTTTCCCTCTCTGTTTATCAGTCTGAGATGTTGTTGCAGCACCAGTCGAACCCGTGCATTCTAAATAAGGCTAAGAAGACTCCTCTGGATCTGGCCTGTGAGTTCGGCCGAGTGAAGGTCAGTGAGCTCATCTCTGTAGGGACTTATCAGTGTTTCAGTACTAGTGTGTTTGTGCTCATTCTTCATGCGAGATGTCATTCGTTACATCACTGTCACTATGGTTACAGTGATCTCATAAATTACATCTGATGTGTGGGTGAATCTCACAAAATCTGACAAGAACATGTCTAGGTCATATTTCACCTTAAAATCCAAAGAAAAAACGTGCTTATAAAAATGAAGCTGATTTGTTTGGGACATTAAAAAATTATGTGATTATTCGAATGATTAAATGACTCATAAATAATCACATATCTGGCTTGAATTGTGTCAATGGTATTAAATTAGCTTACTGTGGAATTTTTTTTTTTTTTTAAGTAATTAATTTGACAAAATATACTATATTCCTCAGCTTATACTTCATAATTTAAATAATATATCAAATAATATATCAATTACAGTTTAAATAATAAATCAAATTATATATATATTTATATATGATAGATTGATAGATAGATAGATAGATAGATAGATAGATAGTGATTATTCGAATGATTAAATGACTCATAAATAATCACATATCTGGCTTGAATTGTGTCAATGGTATTAAATTAGCTTACTGTGGAATTTTTTTTTTTTTTTAAGTAATTAATTTGACAAAATATACTATATTCCTCAGCTTATACTTCATAATTTAAATAATATATCAAATAATATATCAATTACAGTTTAAATAATAAATCAAATTATATATATATTTATATATGATAGATTGATAGATAGATAGATAGATAGATAGATAGATAGATTGATTGATTGATTGATAATGCAAAAAAATTTAAATGATTTTAAAATTGGCTTAAAGAGGCTTTTCTTTAGGCAAAATATCAATGTTTGATTTTGGGGAGAAATTTTACCATGTTCTTGACCATTTTTTTGAGAATACAGATAAGCACAGTCCATGGAGACACCTGTCTGTATGCCACAAAATTATTTTCCTCGTCTCTCCTTCTGTCCTGACTGTGATTTGTTGTCCTGTCTGTCTTTGTGTGTCATTGATGTGAATAAGAGCTCAGATTTCAGTAGTAGCTTTGTTTTGCATGTTCTCGCGCACACATGCCCAGTGGTGTGTGATTTCGCTTCAGCTGTGTATTTAGGCCTTTTCGAGGTGTTACTTTAAAGGCAGTGTGTGCATGTGTGGTATTTAATCAGCTGCTGTATTGAGGTATCAGGGTGCGGCTGAAGCAACTGGATAATGTCTTTCTCGCCCTGCGTGTGTGCTGACGCGCAAGAAATCCACTCAGTACTGCCTGCTTTGGGTGTGCCTTTAAAATGCACAGCAGTGCGGCTGTCTTCAGTGTGATCTATGATCGATTCAATGTACGGTCAATAGAGTCATCATGTGTATGATTATAGATAGAAAGATGATAACTCGTAATTACGGTTTTCCACATTTTTTAATAACAGTAAAGTCATACATTATTTTGCTCAAAGTACGTCATGATATTTGTCCATGTATGCTGGCCATTTGACTGGTTTTCATACATCTTATTCATTTAAAAAATAAAAAATAAAGTTTTGTAAAAACATTTATGTCCACTATCAGAAACAGTGGCAGACGTCACAACCTTGGCTCGTCTCTCAACGTTTGGCAGCCGTGCAACATTTTTCCTTTTTGCATAAAGTTGATCTTTTTGCTGCTCTCACTGTTTGCTCTACTTCACTCCACACTATCCACAATTCCCAGTGCAAGTCTGAACCTCGCCTTCCAATCTGTAGAAAATGAAAGGACTCGTCTACTCAGCTCCACTGACTGTGCTTCAGTGGACACACACCGTTAGTGTTTGTGGCCCAGATGTTTTTGGGTGCTAATGGTCACTGGGACACATTAGTACGACCTCATCCTCACCTGTGAGGCCTCTGAGAGCCAACACTCACCTTCCCAAGAGCCCTCTGTCTGTGTGTGTGTGTGTGTGTGTGTGAGTGTTTTCACAACTCTCTCGTCTTCCCGCCTTTTTCTTTTCTGTCCCTCCACTTTCATTCAAAAATCTTGCTCTCAGTTCAGTTTAGCATTAAAACTGTACATGGCATTAGCAGAAGTGTTTGTACCTTACTTGTGTACCATATATTCTGTTTAAAGCCACAGTTTGCAGAAGAATGGTTTTGTCTAACATGTTGTTTGCCTGTGCTTTAGGAATGAAGTAAAATAGTGGTAGTAACAGAATAATCAAGTAATTTTATTCATATGTTGAATTAGCTTTTATTTTAAGTTTAAGTTTGAGTCATTTTGTTATGTGCTTTCCTAATGCTTGTTCATTTTTTATTTTAAGTCATTTGTATTTCAGTTTTAGCTTCAGTCATTTTAGTATTACATATTACCTATTTCAGTTAGTTGCCAAGGCATAATTTCTAGTATTTAATCTAATCTTTATGTTTTATTTGATTTAAATGACTGAAATACCGATTTTTCAGAGTTTGTTAACCATAAAAACACTGGTGCAAAATACGCCAATGATCTCTTTCTCTTTTGTAGGTGGCTCAGCTGTTGTTGAGCAGTAATATGGTTGCGTCTCTGTTAGAGGGAGATCGGAAGGACGGGTCAGACTCAAACTGTAACACTCCTCTGCACCTCGCCGCTCGCAACGGACACAAGGACGTCATTCGGTGAGCTCTTAGAAACCCCTTGTGTGTGTAGCACATCTGTAGGCATCAGTCTCAGCTGTGTCGAGCTGTCCTGTCTCTCTGGAGAGATGCATGTCTCAGCTCTGCTGTGTTTTTACACTTAATTTGATTCTCCAGCTAAGGTGTTTTCCACAGCTGTTAGTACAGAAACACTGCTGATATAATGTAAAAATGACCCTTGTAATACATTGTGATTGGATGACCCACATTCATAATTAATATGCACACCTGTGAACACACATGGATTGAATTCTGAATTGATGCACCAAGTTGCAGCATTGCTTGTTAGCATCTCATACCGTCCCTGGTGTATTTGACTGTTTCTTCAGATAAACACAAAGAATTAACAATAATCCATCTCTGTGAGTCCATGTAATGAGGGTGAATGAGTGGACAAATGTTTAACACCTTAAAAGCACACATGGTCATCATGACAATAATCCATACGACCTCAGTGGATGAGTAAAATCTTAAGTGAAACAATAGGTGTTTGTAAGAAAAATACTTTTTTTTTTTTTATTTGTTTTGTTTTATAGTATTCTTATACTGTATAGGACATTGTGAAGTAGGCATGGGCCGGTATGAGATTTTGACGGTATGATAGCCTTAAGCAAAATATCACGGTTTCACTGTATCACGGTATTGTCGTTACAGCTCTAAAATGTGTTATTTTTAAATGACTGGGTAAAAAAAAAACTTTTTTCCGCTGAACACAATATATTTTGTTTTTGAGCAACATACAGAATATTAGGAACAGTAGAATTTGTTTTTCTTTGATTTGTTTCCTAAAGAGGCTAAATCAAGGCTGACATCTTTATTTAACCTAAATCTGTAATTACAGTTATTTAATTTTAGTTATATAATTCATATACATATCATTTATTTGATATCATTTCATATAATTTAGTTATATAATTTCATATACATAATTTGATTTAATAATAACCCAATTTGAAGCAAAAACAGAATGTTCTGACTAGCTTTGTGAAATTATACTACATGCCTGAACGAATCAAACAGCAGAAGCTCTGAATGAGACGCAGATTCACTCTCTGACAGCAGGAGGCGCTTCTGGAACACCAGATACAGCGTTTTCTTGGTTACCGGTGTAAACAAAGCAGCGCTGCGCTGAAACACTGCTTTAATATGAACTATACAGAGACGAGATGAAAAGAAAATACAACGTAAACTTTTCTGAAGACAGTCAGTTCCCCTCAGAAACACATTCATATAAACCCCCAAATCAATATTGAGGATTTTCTTCCAATAGTTCGTGCATCATGAACAGTGAGTGATCTGCCTGCTACAGTATTTTTCTCTGTGCGTCTTCAGTGTCTCTGGCCTGTGTTTACGGGCGTTTACAGACTTCATATTTTCACATAAATGAAATTTTTCGAAAATGATTTCATTGCAACGCAGTTTGTGCAAGTCCAGAACAGGTTGCTTGCAATAAGACTAAAAACATCCGGTTGCCGATCGTGTAAGTTCCAGGGGCAGCTTCTTAAGTTCGGCCATCCTACACACACTGTTTGAAACCGTGAAATTTTCAAATAGCGGTATACCTTGAAATCGGTAATCGGCCCATGCCTAATGTGAAGCTTGTGCAAAAAGTGGCGGGTCCTCTTCTGTGTCATTTCGCATGTGAGTTTCACAACGCGTTTGTGATACTTCTCAGCATGCGTACATTATGCTTCTCAACACACATTACACTTATGCCGAGTTCACACTGCAAGATTTTCAAAGTCGTTGGATCACCATTGTTTTCTCAATGCACGACTATCTGGGATAGTATTCAGTTGCTGCTGTGTTCACATTGCACGATGGAGCGGCGACAGGAGGTTACACACTGCATGACTTTACAATAGATAGAATCACCGACAACTCTTTCAGATCCGCAAACTACATTTCATATAACTCCTCGCCGAACTTCCTGCTGCCCTGTATCTTGCTCTCTCATTGGCTGTAGGACACAGCAGGATTTGGAATCGCCGACAGGTCCAGATATTTAGCATGCCAAAAATTTCACAGGCATCTGCGATTCTCTCAGATCATGTCTTTGATAATTCACACTACGTGATTTTCACTCACATGAACGAGCACCGATTTGCCTCCAATTTCGCAAAACCTGTCGAACTCTGAACTGTTGAACTCTGCATAACCAAAAGGGAAGCGAATGTTCATATCGCGTTATCGTTCTAGATTACTCGGGACATGTTTTTCGTGTTATTCGTGTGAATAAAAACATTGCGTAATGCTCTCCTCCATTTTCTAATACAACTGGATGTGTCAATCAGCTAGCTCTTCATTTATTGGCTTGCATGACAACGCATCATGCATATTTTCCACTCGAGTTGAAATTTTTCAACTTGCGCAGAAGACACGATTGAGGTGTATATCGGCGCCGCAATAGCACCACCCGGCGCGAATTTGCATCTATTCGCGTCTTTGCATTGACTTTGGCTACGTCCGAAAACTCTAAAATGCTGCCTTCAGAGGCAGGAAGGCATCAAGGCATGTCCAAATCCAAATTCTGCTTTACTTCCTGTTTCCCCACTTTTGATGTTATTTCTAGCGAGAAATCAATATTATAGTAATTAAATATTCATTTAGTTATCACAAAAACTCGTTCTATTTTGTTGTAGATAATTAAACCGTTACACTGCCTCAAAAGCCTGTCCGAAATCAGTTTCATGAGGTGCCTTCGTGCAAAAACGCTGCCTGCAAAGTCATTGCCTCATACGGCAGCAAGTCAGCTGCCTAAGTTTTCGGATGCAGCCTTTGTGTTCATGTGCTTATGTCATGCTTCACAACACTCTTAATGATACTTCACAACACGCTTATATGAATCTTCTTAACATGCTTGCATGACACTTCTCAACACTTTGTGATGTTTACAAGGCACATAAATAATGCTTTGAAACGCACATCACGCTTCGCAACATTCTTCATTATACTCTTATGTGACACTTCGCTACGTGCTTAGTTGATGCTTTACTATGCACTTCTGTTTATGTCAAACATAATCTGTAACCTCTCTGGAACGCTCGTATGGCAGTAGGCCGGATACATTGGTTTATATTTCATAAAAAGCTAGTCAGATGACACCTTACCACAGCTGCAATACTCTCTGAATGATTCCTTTAAATATGACATATACTTTGAATATAGTTAAGTAGGTTTTTTTAGTTTTGACATAAAACACACCCGCTGCGTCATCCCAGCAGCACAGCAGACAGACACTATACCCGCACAGCAGAGGATGAGACTGGGAAAGTCCTGGTGCCAACAGACAGTCAGTGTTCTCTCTGACTCACGTTCCCCCACATGATCGTCCTGAGGGAGAGGAGCGTCCCAGTCTCCCTAAATATGTGTGAGGATGTCTGGGAAGAGTGCATTTCTGAGTGGATTAAACACTGCTGTGACTCATCACTCTCATTTACAAGGACACACGGCACTTTCTGTATCAGATATCATGATATCGGAAGCCCATTTCTGCCACATAAGAAAGAAAAATATTTGGTAAATCATAATGATGAAATAAAAAGTCATAATTATGACATTAAAAGTCAAACTTCTGTGTTGTATATATGACTTTTTATGTCATAACAAATCATGCTTTGGTAAATCATAATTTTTTTTACGAGGCAGAATTAGGCTTCCATAGACATTTGTATGGTAAAAATATTTCTTAAATATGTAAATGAAGTATATATTTTATATAATAATCATGGCAGTATTTATTATATTGCATTTCATTTATGATAATTTAAATATTGTATCAAAGTAATGATAGTGTAATTTAAAAAAAATTTAATTACCAAAAAAACTCACATTACAGTATGTGTGATAATGAGAATAATGGCACAATTCCAAAAAGTAAAATAGAATCTGGAGATAATTTTCACATTTGACATTTGTGCAGTGTGATTCATTTTTAATTTGCAGAGTAATGACATGACTGTCTGTGTGTGTGCGTGTGTGTGTGTGTGTGTGTGCGGCGTGTGTGTTTGTTTCCTACGGCTGTCACACTAACAGATCCCATCCTAATGCCTGGCATTCCCAGTGCAGCACTGAAAATCCATCCTGCATTTCGACAGATGAGTGTCTCTGATTCTGTGTGTGTGTGTGTATGTGTAAATTCCACAAGTCTGTGTGTATTACAGGCCCTTCAGTATGTAAATATAACACAGAATGCTAAAGAGGATGTCGTCTGCTCTCTGTAGAGTAGTAGTACACTATTGCCGCCAATTCATTCATTGAGTTTCCATCTCTTTCTGTCTCCAGGCTTCTTCTAAAAGCAGGTATTGACATCAACAGAACCACTAAAGCTGGCACAGCCCTCCATGAGGCCGCTCTCTATGGGAAGACAGAGGTAGTGCGGCAACTCCTGGATGTAAGTTCATCTGTTTTTTGGAGACGTCTCTACTACAGGGGTCACTGACCTTTCGGACATTAAGTGGCTTTTAATTTTAGCTTTTGAATCAATCGCTGTCCAACAGAATTTTTTTTGTAACATCCTGTCATATGCTTCTTTTTGAAAATTTTGTTTCACAAGCAACAAAACTAATATGTTTATGTCCTCTGTATTTTGTATGCGGATCAAATCCAGAATAATTTGAGGAGGAATCAAGATGCATTAGTGATTAGATTTTTCCACACTGAATGTGCTTCTGCTATTCGACAGACAACATTTACCCGTCTTAATGTTTGTTTCTTGTGATGGCAGAATGGGATTGATGTCAATATCCGTAACACTTACAATCAAACAGCCCTAGACATTGTCAACCAATTCACCGCATGTCACGCCAGCAAAGACATCAAGCAGCTCTTACGAGGTGAGATGCAATCTGACATTTATTTTAAGACTGCACTGACTGTATTTGATCTCCTTAAGCCATCTCGTGAACTGTAGCGTGTGTCTAACAGTGTGTATGTGGAGTGTGTTTGTGTTCATACTGCATATACACAGTATATGAGAGTGTGTGCATGGTGAAGTTTGTGTGTGTGTTTGGGAATGGCCCTTTGGTTTGTAAATGGTTATGGGAGACATTTAAGCTGCCATTTAGTAAACAGCTGTTTAAACTCAGGATTATATAACCTGCTGCTTTCTCTGGCTAGTTTTGAGCACATGAAAAAGACAAAAGACATCTCCTGTGTGTGTGTGCAGATGCATACCACAAATCTGTGGGGCCCTCCTATGAAACATAAGACGGGGCTCCACCCACAAGTACTGACGTCATATGTGAACATTTCTATCAGAATGAAATGTTAACAATGACAATCATGTTATTTTGGGCAATTTAGCTTTCTGTTTAGTACCCTTTATTAATTCCCTTTGTAAATGTGGCCTTTAAGAATGCACCTTTTTTAACGGTATCATGCATGATTCCTGCAGGCATACTTTTTCAAATTTAAACTGTGCTTCACACAAAATCCACGAGGTGATGCATGGGCTTGCTTGGGTTGTGTTATGAACTGTGTACTTACACAATTCAGAATGCAACTTGTGGAATCAACTTTACTTCCACAAAAGCCAAATGAACTCTGAAGTCTAGTGTCAAACAGACTCAGTCCACACTAAAAGCTCTTAGTCTTTGTAAACACACTATATATATATATCAGTGACGCATGTCCTGGACATTAATGAGTGGGAATGTGAAACATTTCATGTGTGATCTTCATGCATTCTGTAACATCTGCAGTATTTATTGCCGTTTTGTATGGGTGGATATAAATAAATATTTGAAGTGACTGTTGATATGAGACACTCATTCTGTTTGTGTCTTTGAACTCAGGCAGTAAACAGAGCTCTTATCATAATGAGCACAGACAGGCCCGTCTGCTATAACCAGAGCTGCTTTGTGTGTGTATGTGGGCCACAACGCTTCCCTAAACCTCTGACAGATTCAAGAGAGTTCATTATTGATTCAGTGAGCCTGCTGTGTGTCCGTGTGTCAGCACATTCCTTCCACTGGAATAAAATCACAGAAATGACACGCTGAGAGCTTTAGATGGCGGGACCTCACTAGACTAGTTTTAGGAACACTAAGCTATAAAATTTTTTGCATTTGCATTTTTATAACATTTCTCCAACAAATTCTCATGAATAAAAATACAATGGGGAAGTGTACTTAAATAATTAAGAAAATCAAGCACTATATAAATTACAGTAATAGTAATATATTTTAATATTATAAAATTGTAACATTTTTAATATATATTTTCAAAAGAAACTGGGGGGAAATGTGATTAAATATACAAATAACGTTTTTAATGTGGACAAATCTCAGTAGACCTACAAGGTTTTTTTTACAAATTAAAATATAAAATTAAATAATAATATTCTGTGTGTATTTATAGCCTTTTTCTTTATAAGGGATAGAAAATACCATTTGTACAGTATAAAAACCATTATGCCTATGGAGAGTTCCCATAAAACATGGAAACAAGTGTGTGTGTGTGTGTGTAATTTTCTTATTTCTTCCTTTTAATTTTGAGCTGGACAATTTCATGAGATTTAGCAATGTATTGTAATGTACAGTAGGTGGTATCTTCCAGTATCTGAACTCTCTGAATTATGTGAATTTCTGTTTTTGATCCAACACATATATATGTGTGTGTGTGTGTGTGTGTGTGTGTGTGTGTTTCCAGAAGCTACAGGAGTTCTTCAGGTCAGAGCTCTGAAAGACTTCTGGAACCTTCACGACCCCACGGCCCTCACCATACGCGCCGGTGATGTCGTCACGGTACGGCCACTTACATGACTTCATAAAACCTCTTCACAGACAGTGTGTGTGTGTGTGTGTGTGTGTGTGTGTGTACGTCTGCGCTTCTCTTAAGCACTATATACCAAACCCCGTGTTCCTAGTCAGTCTATTCAACTAGCGTTTCAGAAGCAGTTTCACTTGAACCGAGGCCAGATTTTTCTCTTTCCCCTACCACAAGTTCTTTCTGTTCATCGCCTTGGTTTTTTGAGGGCGCTAAAGATAAACTCACAAGTGTTTACTTGTGAACTCAAACTAACATACATTTTCACACAGCATTGTTTCACATGAAGTTGTGGGCAGAGAATAAGTACGGTCTAAGGGTCATTTACTGGAGGGTTTAGAGATGTATTTCATGAGCTGAATGTTCTCGCTGTTGTTTTGTCAGCGGGCCTGCAGCTATTATATGCTTTATGCGTGTTTGCTTAGGGTGGGCGGCTGGGGTTATGTTATCTAACTTTCAAAAGCTTTCAGATCATGCATTGTCTCTGAACTCCCGACGTCCTCCTCTGTTTTGACTGGTTGTCAAGGATGAAAAACGGCTGGATTAAAAATCGAGCGGGTTGCATTCGCAGCAGTACGGGTGAGATCACCGTGACGTCAGTGTGTTCTGCTCTTCTGATTGGCAGGTGATAGAGCAGCACGTGGACGGACGCTGGAAGGGCCACATTCATGACACCCAGAGGGGAACAGACCGAATTGGCTACTTCCCCCCCTCCATAGTCGAGGTCATCAGCCGACGCTCAGGTACAATAATAACTTGAATTGTAGCAGGTTGACCAAAGTTTTGAAGCTTCACAGCCCGTGATCGCTGTATGTTTTTGTTTGATGGATTTTATTACAGCCATTAACCCTGCAAATAACATTGTTTCCTTTACTGAATCAGTAACATGCTGACAGATGTCTCTTTTTTCCATCCCGCTGCTTCCCATGTAATAAATGTTAATCTCTAACCTCCATCCGCTTGCATTAACCCTCTGCTCCTGTCATGTGTGTGTTGTCCTGTAGGGGGCACCCTGTCACGACACGCCTCTCTGCCCACCCATAGGCAGCAGCTGCTCTCCAGGTCCGCCCTCAGTCCCAGCTTGAGTCTGAGCGGGGGCGGGACCCCTCAAACTGCCGACTCCTACACTCTGTACACCGCTAACCCACACTTGGTCCTCCCACACGCCAATGGTCTGAGCACCAACCCAGGTATACCCACTCGGTCCCATCTCTAAGGGTGCTTTCTCACACGTTTCCACCTGGTATTAAGATGTTTTCAGTGATCCAATTACAAATGGTCAGCTGAGACTCATACTTTTTCCACCTGGCTTTAAAATGGATCTCCTGTGACCACGGATTTTCTTGAGACACCATTTCGTCACGCTGTACATTACTTTTGCGAGAGCGCTAAATGTGTTATATGAATACTGTTGACTGAACGATCCAATGTTAGGTGGTTTACAAGTTATTGGGAAAGGAAGCAAATAAAAAGGATCTAGAGAGCAGCTGCGATTTCAGTTTTGTTTTGGTACAACAGCAAAGTTTGAATCGCTTGTTTTGGTGGCTTTCTTACAACACGTCCAACAGTATTAGGTCAGTAAGGCTGTTTAAATGCATTCAAACATATAAGCTTCTACACTACAAAAGCAAAAAGGTTAAATGCTTTTTTGAATATTTCTTCACGTGGTTGAACGTGGATAAGCTTAAAACCTTTTAGACCCCAATTATGCATGTATTTAATGTTGTCCACTTGTGATCGGATCGGCGAAAACACATCTTAATACCAGGTGTAAACAAGGCCTAAAGCTATTGATGCGAATCTGAGTGTTTAACGTCAGAGATCAGTTTGTTCTGAAAGCACTTTTCTGAACTCTGTTGCACACCAGTGACTGGTATGTGTATGGTACACGTTTGTCCTCGCTACACGTGGTCTCACGCTATTTCACCATGGTTATGAACGCAATAGGTGTGCATTCAAAATGGACCATTCGCCAAGCACTTTTTTAACATTTGCAGGGTAATGAATGGTTTAAACCCCTCCTCAGCTACCACACGGTCGATTTTGTGTTTGCAGACATGACGTAAACATGCGCTATCGAATGATGCAAGCCTGCAACTTCCCTCCAAATCTGACATAACTCATAACGTAAATAAAACCTGTAGGCTTACCATAGTGAAACAGGATAGGACAAGAACCTGGTTTTGAACAACAGATTTGTTGCTATTTTATGTAATTTGTTCATTCTTAACCACTGCTAATGCAGTGCAATTCTAGTGCAGCTTTAAATGTTTATACTCGCATGTCATTAGATCCTTAAAAACAGGTCCTTGGCTTTTAATATGGGTTGGCAGTTTGACCAAAATCTTATATACAGTAACAATTGCGATTAAGATCACAAAATTTTTATTTTTGCTTAAATAAATGGTTTATATATTAAATAACCATGTGGTATTGCTGTTTTGAATTAAGTACTTCACTTATTTTCTAGATGTAAACAGGGTTCCCACTCTTTCATGAACCCCAGATTCA